CGCCCCCCGCCTCCCCCGGGCGCCCGGTGGGCGAACGGCCATGCCCCCTGGCGCCCAGCAACCCCAAATGGTTGGGGACCACTGATGTACACTATTGAACAGAACCCTCAAAGGCATAAAACAGATATAGCTCCAAAGCCTAACATTAATACTGCTCTTCCATTTACCTCTACACTTACCATTTTCTCTCTGAGAAAGTGTACTGCAAGTATCATTACATCCAGACACTTCCCATTTCTTGGCACGTGCTTGATAAAGATCCATACCATGGAAAATGTAGTCTCAAAACTGGACCTCAGGCAGGGCTTCTGATATGCTAGGTAGGACACCCAAGCACACCACTCTGAGACCAACTCCAAAGGCTGATTTTCTTAGTGTTGGGACCCACCACTGCAATAGCATTTTTGTTAATTATTTCTGCCTTTTCTAACTTACTTGAATTTAGCGTTTGGCGTGTTTTGGCACTTGTGCAGTATGCTTCAATCACCTTAAGAATCTGGGCATCTTCTTCCAATGCAGCTGTACCTGAAGTCAACAAAAAATAATTTTTTACCATGACTCTAGTTACTACACCAGTCATGTCATTGTAAAGTCATTTTAAGCCTAGAGGCAAATACCAGATGATTCAACTATGGTTTAGCTCAGTGATTCTATACATTACCATCCTGAACTTCCCTTCACAAGTTGTAGATGATACCTTAAATTATAAGAAGGGTGGTTATGCCCGTCTCATGCTGGTGTGAGTTTCAATGAGCGAAAAGCAAAGAGTTTCAAAAAACAAATATATACTCAAATATTTTAATGAAATGCATTGAAAAACACCTCAAAACTGGGCAATTAAGATAAAGAAGGTTTCTTGAATATTTCAAAACTGCCCCTATTTCTCTTAAAAAAAGATCTGTGTGGCATGTTTCGAAGAAGCACGTCTTCCCTCTTTGGTATTGAGCAAACAGCAGACACAAAGTATACCCAGTTATTAGTTGCACCTTAATACATATCACAGTTTAGAGAAACACAAGGGATTAATTTCTAGAAAATCAGAGCACACGTAGTTCAACCATTAAGTTTTTATTGGGGTTCACAGGTAAAACATACATACAAATTTTCCACAGCAATACTATGAAAGGAAGTCTAGCAATCTGAAAATTGAACTCAGCATCACATTACAACTTATGCAGTTGTACAATTTCAGCCTTGTATCCACCAGAAAAATACCACTTACCATAAAAGCACTTTTGTGAAATTTGACAGCATTTCACAGCTATTTTCAGTATTAAGTGATGCTTGTTAGATTTCTTAGCAGAGCTTAGGGAAGAGAAAACATTCCAGAGACAAAATTGGAAGACTATTTGCTTTGAAGATAATTAACAAAAATCCATGTGTTCCTCCTTGGTTTCAACAAGATTCTTTTATCAAAGTTGCTTCAGTTAACAATAGGGGGTGAAATCCTGACCTATTATGAGGTAAATGGGAGTTTTAGTCCTTATTTCAGCGAAGCCAGAATTTCACCCAGGTTCATTGGTTATTAAATTTCCATCCGTTTTTCCCCATCCCCAAAAAGCTTTATATACCACAGGCCTTAAAGATTTTCACTAAGGGCATCTGAAAGGTCTTTCAAAATCAGCAAGTGAGCACTGTCTTCTCTGAGCAGGTAAGACATCCAGTAATTCCCACTTTTACAACAACGCAGATACTCTACAGAATATCCACTAGTGGTGACTGTTTGCAAACATGACTAGGAAGAGTTCAGAGCAATTTGATAGTTTCCCAACAAAGTTTAGAAACACTTCCTACCTAATTCCAGAAGTGAGAAAAATCTCTCAGCAAAACAATTCTTTAGGCGGGGTATAACACCATTTTACTGAATGCAGAGAAGGAGAACTACGAATGATGTAGGCATTACTTTCCTACATTAGAAGTGATTGGTTGACACAGCTCACGTATCTGATCGGTTTGTTGAAAGCACAACTAACACAGCAGGACAGACTACTAATGACTGAAACACTGGATAAAGGAAGATGAATATCCAGCAGCATCAGTGACGTCACTCAAGTAAGTACAAGTCTCGCAAAAAAAAAGTCATTAACTTTCCCTTTCAGCAGACAAAGCCATCCCTTACATCAAACATGCTGACAACTAAAATTTTAAAAAGTCTTTCAATTAAACAAATAAGTTCTATTTCATCTTTCTTTGAAGTTAAACAATAGCACTTATTAATATAAGATTTTTTTTTATCATCTCTGAGCTTTCAGGGGTCTGGTTGCTATCTTGGAGAAGTGGAATGAAGCTGCAACTGCATGCTGGTGATACCTGAAGTTTCAGACAAATATTTGATTTGATCTGTTGTACTGGAACTGCACTGCAGCAATTTCTTTATTCCTTAGCTGACCTCCATCAGTTAGAGTCCAGCATTGCTTCTCCACATTGCTTCATTTCTATTTCTAATTCTAGCAGCTCTGATAGAATAAAACATTGATATTTCAGAAGTTCTTAAAATTAAAAGATGGTCAGATTAGAAGGGACTAGCAGTTCTAGACTATCCTTTCTTCCATATTTTGATACTTTATTTCTCACATTCTCCTAAAATAATTCAGTTTGTGATGTACTGCTTTTACATTCCATATAAGTGAAATACAAAGGCATTTTAAGATTATAGATCCATTTCCCTCTCCCATCAGCCCATCTGTTATCATCATACCTCTCACTTAAAAGGCAAAAGGCATAATAATGAAAAGGATGTTACAACTGTTTTTAATTATATAGGTGCATAAGCTACAACTAGTTCACTGTCTCAAACAATTAATACCCTAATTAATATTTTATTACTGGGAAGCATTGTTAATCTGTGCAATCTTTAATCTAAATATATAAAAAGTATACGTTGTAAATTTAAAGAGCCACATGAGAAATGGTCTAATGTAATTATGTTGTATGTTTCCTTTAAATGGATTTAAAATAAAAGTATTAGTTGCTTGGATAAAAAAGTCTTTGCCATTTTTTGATGCAACAATCACTTTAAAGAAAGTGCTTCAATTGCTCAGGAGAATCTGATGAAAAAAAATGTCCTTTGAATTCTCAGCTGTGATTGGGGAAGAGCAAGAGAATTAAAACAGCATCGACTTGTTTTGTACTATTGGGAAACTTTACTCTCTTTTGTTTTGAAGATTCTGAGAGGACAGTACATTTAAATAAAGAATGCCTCCAGATTCAAAGTCTTTGAAGATGCGAAGGGAATAAAGCAAATTTTGTTTTCACAATATCAAATAGAAAGTCTAAAGTATTAAGAGGAGTGAACTTGAGTGTCTGGTACGAAATGAGGATGTTGATATTATAGTCATCAGTGAAACTTGGTGGAATTATGATGATAATTAATGGGGACTGGTAATTTCAGGGTGCGAATACATAGGAATAACTGAGTAGGTCACATTGAGGAGGTAGAGGGTAAAGACTGGCTCTGTGTGAAAGAAAGAGTCAAATATAATAAAAATCTACACAGTACAGAGAAAGAAAAAACTAATTAGCAGCTGCCATGTGCTGAGAAAACATTTAAAAGACTGACTTCTCAGTTTAGAAAAGAAATAACTAAGGGGGGAAGAAGGTAAAGGTCTATAAAATCTTGAATACTGTGGACACACCTCACATAAGAGCCAAGAATCACCCAACGAACAGGCTGCAGGTTTAAAGCAAACACAAAGTAGTACTTCTTCACACCATACTAAGTCACTTGTTGCCAAGGCCAAATATATAGCTGGGTTCAAAAAAAGAACTGATTAAGTTCATGTAGGACAGGTCCATTAATGGCGATTAACCAAGACTGATGGTCCCTAAACCCCTGGCTCCCAGAAGCTGATGACAGCGGATGGATCACTCAATAAATGCCCTGTTCGCTTTGTTCTCTCTGAAGCACCTGGAACAGGCACTGTTAGAAGACAGGACCTACAATTCCCTATTAAGCTGCATGGCCACGCAGCCTCCCACTAAGCCTTGCGCAGGGGATAAGGGCTGCAATGGGCAGAGACGTCTCTTCCCAAGCCTTCAAACTGTCATGGCTGGTGTGGAGGTGCCTCTCCCTGCTGGCCCCTGTAAGGAGCTCCTGCAGGTGGAGGAGAAGGTACCTTCCCACTGGTCCCGTCATGGAAACAACCAGGGCAGCAGGTCCAGCTCCTAGCAGGGGGACCAAGGGACTACAGGCAGTATGGAACCTCACCCTCCACCCATCAAGAGCTGGAACTGCTGGCTGCTTCTGGGGCGCAGCGTGGTGTCTCAGGACAGGTAGGCAACCTGCCTACCTTAGGACTACTGACAAGGAACAACCCAGGTAAGCCTGAGTCCCAACCGCCTACCTAGCCTGAGCCTCCACAAACCAGAGCCACTTCCTGCACCCCAAACCACTCATCCTGGCCCCATCCCAAACACCACACCTCTAATCCAGAGCCTGTAGCCCCCTCTTGCATCCCAAGCCCCACCATCACCAGGCTCACTCAAGAATCCTCACCCTTCCTATATTTCAAATCCCTCTGCCCCACCCACCTAACCTGAAACCCCCCCCTGAACCCCAAGCTCCTCATACCTCAACCCTGTGTCCCATCCATGAGCCCCCTCCCAAATTCAGAACCCCTTGGCCCCACTCCTGCCATACAAATTTTGTTACGTGCCACAACATGAAGATGATGTGTACTTGTCATATTAGTAACAAATAGCCCAAGGTTTATAGCTCAGCTGTATCATGCAAGTGAACTTGTTATGGACAAGTCAGCTACTCACACGCTACTCAAATTGTTTCCATCAGCATTATGTGTAAACAAAATATCATAGGTTCCTGCCGAAGAAAATCTACAGCACATCCTAGGGGAACAGAAAGCCCCCACTCTAAATCAGCAAGTAGTGTAATGGAAAAAATTCCTTCTCAACTGAAAGTATGGTGATACTTCATGACACTACTGACTCTGTCCTTCACAAATTCCAGAAACTCTAGACAAACAAGTCTCTGCTCTAAGAAGCCCACAATTTTAAGGACATGGAAGCAGACAAAAACTGAAAAATGTGAATGTGGTTATGAGTATATGAATTAGATCAATTAATTATTTTAAGCACTACACAGTCCCGTTATCGCAAAATGAACTTGTCCAGTCGCACATGTGAATTGAGATATATTATTAAACACTACAGAGCCAAAACTAAACTGATGTTAAGACAGTAGAATAAAGACTTTTTTTCCTGGATAACTCCACTATTTACACTTGTCTTTTCTTTCATCCTTTCTACTCCCCCATGTTTCTATTCTACTGCCAATGGTCCCCCTATACTTGCTTAACCTTTTGTCCTTTAGGGTATTTTTTTTCCAATCTATAAACGCATCTTGTTCCTTGGAAACTTCTCTAGCTTTCTCTTATCGCCTATGAAACATCTGTCCCAAAATAAACAACATATAGACAATAGTTCTATGGATATACCAGTACAAATAAATGACCTACTCTGAAAGATATTAGTACCAGTATTTAGAGGTATCTTCTTTTAAATCCCAAACCCACTGGGAACTTTGAAAACAATCAATTAGATCTATAGTCTTAACTATATCTTGAGATGGTAGGATACCATTTTTAAAATCTAAAATTGCTCTTCACAAACCTGAAGTTTGCGTATTCAGATTTATAATACTTTCTTTCACTTCAAAGAGGTAGTTACAATACAAATAACCAGGGTATGTCTACACTACCCCACTAGTTCGAACTAGCGGGGTAATGTAGGCATACCGCACTTGCAAATGAAGCCCGGGATTTGAATTTCCCGGGCTTCATTTGCATAAGCGGGGAGCCGCCATTTTTAAAACCCTGCTGGTTCGAACCCCGTGCAGCGAACTAGGTAGTTCCTATTCCGAACTACCGGTACACCTCGTTCCCGGGCTTCATTTGCAAGTGCGGAATGTCTACATTACCCTCCTAGTTCGAACTAGCAGGGTAGTGTAGACATACCCCCAGAGAGTTAAGAAATGAAGTTCTACTATATTAAGATCATTCCAGGAAAAGTCTCCTTCCTCCCTCCCTTCCCACCCCGCCCCGCTAATTAGCATAAACAGCAAACTGGAAGTGTTGATACTCAAAGAAAGTTGAAAATGACATTTTTAATTAAAGTTAAATTGTGTTTAATCAGCTAATTGAGTAGTGGATGGAATTTCCATCGATTACTCAATTAGTAGGTAAGGGGGAAGACTGCAGAGCCCAAGTGGGGTTAGCTCCCAGCCCCAGGAGCTAACTCCGGTGTGGCTCTCTCTTTTAAATGTAGTAGGAGCCACCCTGCTCTTATTCTATTTTAAACACAGGGGTACAGCATCTGGGACTGGGCACAAACTGGGACAGGTAAGTCTCAGCTCATGCCCGGTCCCCTGGTGCGCCTCTGCCTCCCCTGCCCCCCTGCGGAGACAGTGCTGGGAGGGGAGGAAATGGCTTTTAAGATGACTCCCCTCATCACTGGCTCCTGCTCCTCCCCCTTGGAGAAGGGACCAGTTGAGAAGTGACTACTACTTAATAAGCCCAGGCTTATTGGGGAGTCTACTACTCAAATTAGTTGCTTACATCCCTACTTTTCATTAGTTAAAAAAATATAAATGCCATCTTATTTCTCTGCAACTTTCTTTTTATATACACTAGCACCTTGGGAATACACAGATATTTTTCAGTCTTACTTACTTTTTCTCAGTGCAAACTCTTCATCTGATGGCTTCCGTTCAGGCTTGCGCTTAGGAAGCAACTTTTTCATGGTTTTAGGGCTTTTACTGAGATCCTGGATGAAAAGAACAGAAAAAAATAAAGCTTCTTTAAAAAAAAAATCCAAATGCCAAAATTTTAATTTGTGTTCAAGTAGCTATTAACTCTAAAATCTTATAAAGCTACATCAACATTTTGCTGGCTGATATTTTTGGCATATTTCAGGCTTGCTTGAGTTGTCTTATCTCCCCTCAACCCTACTGACTATTAACATGTTATTCTTCTGATTCTATTAATGCTGCTATAAGTATTCAAGCTGTCTGGGAACTAGAGTGAAGCGAACAAACGCAAGCAGAACACAAAGTATTTTTCTTAACTTTTGAGAGGTAAACCCATCTTATTTATAAGAGCTAAGAGGTATTTCTTTAAATCAAAATTTGAAAAGTGCTTATTATAGCTGTGAAAGGAGACACCTACAGCAAAAGTATGACACAGGTAAGAGTCATGCTAATGTTATAGGGATGCAAAATACATACTGATCTACCCCTTACCTTCAGAATACAAGACAGACTCACAAGAAAGTGAAAAGATGAATGAGCAGGACAAAGACCAATGAGGATGAAGGTAGGTTTCAAACATTCAGCCATACACTAAATGTTATACATATACCATGCATGAAAGAGGTTCACTTATATTTAATTTAAAAGATGGACATGCACTGTAACTGAATGAGCTAATACAGTCATTAAACTAAAACGTTTAATTTTAAATTCAAGCCCAGCTCTCTCTCTCTCCCACATTCCTTGTTTTCTTTTGCTAAAGGGTTTTATGAGTGACAACTGTTTGTCAAAAGATTGACCTCAATTATTAAACAGAGAGCACAATTTGTGTGCCTGAAAAAAATTCAAATTTCTGACCAACCCTCACTGTGGCTGCAAGGCTTAAACCTGGTTACCTGGTTGAGCAGGCTCCGCCCCCACAACCCTGCTGGGCATGCTCCAGCTGGAGGCCAGATATAAAGGCCTGTGGAGCAGTTCAGTCTGGACTGACTGCTGACAGGGAAGAAGGTGCTGCTAGAGCGCCTCAGGAGGAGCCACAGATGGACCAAAATGAGGCCAGTCAGTGGGAAACTCCAGGAGAAGCCCCCAGTCTGGAGGAAACTGCTGAGGATGACACTGGAGAGACCAGTAGAAAGTAGCCTGGGTGCAGGTGGGAAGGTTGTACGCTGGGAGCTCAGCATATTTCAGTGGAATTCCCTGCTGAGCTAGTGGTGAACCGCCCCACTGCTGAGAGGGCGCTGGGCTGGGATCTGTGGAGACGGTAGGCCTGGGCCCCTTTAACTCATCTACCCCATGTGGGGATCTACACCTATTGCTAGTGACTCTGGCTGCTGAGCTCATCACCCTGTGAAAGAAGGACATTGTTATTAACTCTCACCATTGGGACACAGTGCCCTATGGAAGGAGGGTGGTGTTATTCACTCTAGCCATTAGGCTTGACTATCCTGAGGAGAAGGGGGGTTGTTATTGATTCTGTGATTGTGGCCACCAGGCCCCACACCCTCTGAGAAGACATTGGTAGTGACTCTGGCTCCTAGGCCATGCTGCTCTGTGGGAAGAGGGCAGGGTTAGTGACTCTGGCCATTAGGCCTCACTGTTCTATGGAAGGAGGGATTTGTTATTGACTGACACTGCAGATCTTACAGCCTGGGTCAAGTTACAGGTATAGTTGGGAGGGGAGGCACAGCAATCCCCTTGCCCAAACTGGTACACAGATGGATTTCAGCACCCCTCTGAGGGGCCTCAGATGCCCAGCGCCCACTTCCCAAAGGCGGGGGGCTTGCTCGCACTGAGACATGACCATCTTTCACATGCAATTTCATCTCCCACATGCACACTCAAGATATTTTCAGCAACAATTGCACACGCTCCTTTGGGAACTGGTTTTTAACATTAAATCAGAATCATGATGATGCATTAAACAAACTTTTCAAAAGAACTTTAACGTTGCTTCTGAATAAAATATAATACTTCTCTGCTATATGCCCATTAGTGTACTGAATCAGACGATCTCAGCATGCTGTATCAAAGTGGCTAACTACTATTTCTCCCATTTCATAGCTTGTACATCAATAAAGTGGCTGTGAGTTGCCCATGATCTCACAGTAAGTCAGTAATAGAATCTCTGGCTTAATTTACTAGACACGGATGCCTCTGTTAAATTAAACACATTACCAAATTCTGCATAAACCTAACATTTTAAATATTGTTCACTTTTACAGGGTAGAATTTAGTGCAGAACGTAGTGCCAAGAACAAGTTAGTCTACCACTGACATTCTTTTGGGGATTAAAAAAAAAGTTTTGTATTTCTATTACAACCCTGACTCAAATCTGCCAACATTATAGCATGAGGGGTGGGGTAGAAGGAAAAATAAATAATAATTATATGTCGTCATAAATGGTACCATAATTCAAAGTTGATGTCAAATGAGTTTCACGTGAGCACAAAATGTCAGCATTAACTTCTAGTATTAAATTCAAAGGTTTAAACTAAGTGCAAATAAACAGTTTAATATTCAGGAATTAAATTAGGCATAACAACTGTAGATATTCTACACTGTTTGAGACGCCGTATTTTCATATGAGGTAGGAAACAGATGTCAGATTGCTGATTCTGGACTCTTTGTCCATTCACAGCAAGCAGTGGCAACACTCTGATCTCGGGAACTACTCAGAGAATGTCTCACTTTGCTTGCTAATGACTCTGATCAATTTAAAAGCAGCATTGTCCTCATTGACCAGGACGATGGTAGAGGTAGAACAGGTTACAGAGAACAAGGTATAAGGGAAGTAGATAACATACACACACATATTCATGGTTTGGAGAAGGATGCATAAATGCAGGGGATTTCCAGAATGAATACAAATGGGCATTAATTACCACTCTTTCAGTTATAGCTTAAATGAGGTGAAAACATACATAATATAAACATACATACAGAACTATATAGGATTGCGATATGAAGAGAACTGAGTTACACCTCTTAGTGTACTTCTGTATTTTACAGTAGTATTTCTGGGTTCTAGCGCCTCACCTCTTTATAACACAGAGCTGCTGAAGGCCGTAGTGGAGGTGCAGGTCGTAAACAGCTCAAGCTCCAAGGTTTGGGAGTTTTAGGAGGTTCCAGAGGTCCCCAGTTTATAGTGGTATGTGGAGTCCCATGATGTGAAGGATGTGGAAGTGTGTGGTATGCAGGAGTTAGTGTTATTGGTTTGCTGTCTGAATGTTTGCTGGATGGTGTTACTGAATGAGAAGGAAGCTGCCAAATGTAGAAGGAGAGTGAAAAAAATGATACTGTATTAGTCTAAAAGATAAAGAAGTAATTGTCAAAGACACATGCAATCATTTACACTAGCTACCTAAACATTTCTATCTATTATAGTTCCAGCTATTGTTGTTTTAAAAGCTGAATAATAATTGACATAGCAGAACATAATTTCTTTCAAGAAACTCATTGTCTACCCCAGAAACAATATGAACTGATCCACAACACCCTTGATCGCATCCCTCTCACATCACATTTACCGAGTGAGTGCAAAAGAGCTATTTAGCATAACTCACTCAAATTTAGAATTACTGGAAAGTTTGAAACTCAAGACTTCTAGTATGTGGGGACATTTGGAAATTTAGTTTTTGAACTGAAATATTTTCTAAATTACCTGCATATCAGTTTCATAAAACTTTTGTTTTAGAATTTTGTCACAAATTTTGTTAATGGTTTCTCTATTTTTTCCATTATTTTTGCCTTATTTTGTAATATGTGAACTATTACTACTTCTGACATCATCATATAGCATACTATAATAGTTGACATTTTATTTTAATTTATATTTAAATCATTATAGACTATGCTATTAAGTGTAGACTGACACATTTTTATCTTCTTTTCTCGGTCCAAGTGTCTCCTCTGTGTTGTAGTGAAACAATCTGACACAAATAAAATCCATGAACGATAACAGTTAACATGAACATAAAGTTAGAATGCCATAATGCTGCCAAAAACTGCAATATAAATTGTACATGGCTTTTCCTGACTTGCTATAAATTAATATAAAAATAATATACAAATGGAAAAAGCTACAAAATAAATTAAAATTAAAAAATGATACTTCAGAATTGCCCAAAATAAAATCTTGGAATTTCCTAAATCTAAAGATTTCCAAAATTAGCATTTTTTCATTTAGAAGTTTTTGTCCTTGAACATTAGCCAATATCAACAATTTCATCTGAAAAAACTAACACATTTATTCAGAAAAAATGTTCTGATGAAAAAGGTTCCCAACCCAGTCTCAACCTGCTTTGTCAAGTTGATGCAATATAACCTGTAATTCTAAGGACAATTAAAGGAAAAAATCAAATAAATTATTCAGGCACAAAAACGAGAAGTTAGAGATGGAGTCACAGATTAACCACAATTTTCCTGGGGTTTTCTTTTTATTTGTTGAAGCCAAACTATTCAGTTACATTAATATATTTTGTATCTGCAGGAGTGGCCAAACCTTTCTTCTCATTTTGAAAATATATAAAGCAAATTGGGTCAATTAAAACGTCTGGTTCCTGTTACTCATGGCGGAAAAAAAAGTTAGAATGATTTACAAAGTAGTATGAGATTCATAATCCTGATAATCTCTCAATTTCAAACAAAAGCTTGATTACAGTATTTCTTACAGTGTGAGATGGCACAGAATGAGGTTTAATAGTGGGATTCCCAACAGTTGTAACTTTGGTTTGCTTCTGCAGATGATCCACCCATTCATGTAAATCCTGTTGGTTGTTACATGATACTAATATCCGCTCAATCATATTTCCTAGAAGAAATCACAAGATTGAGAGTCTAAACACAACTTTATTATTTTAGTGTTTATAAAGAATAAAATAACCTCTTTTTCCATGCACCCAATTCCTGAAGTACCTTAGGGCTGAAAGAAAAAATTAAAAGTGTAATTTCTGTCCAAAGCAATGATATTTCAACCCCTTTCATCATTGTGATAGTTTTTTCTCCAACTATCTGTCCCTAGACACAGGTCATTTTGAAGTCTTGATTAAGGGAATTGTATGCAAAGAAATTGATCTACCAATTAAAGTCATTCTGGTCTCTAGTGAGAAACACAGAGAAGACCACCAAAAAACAAGCAAGCAAGCAGAAAACAACACCTAATAAAAATATTACCTCACCTACCTTGACTCTCTAATATTCTGGGATGGGCATAGTCACATCCCTGCATACAGAATCCAATGTGAGAATTTCTCCCTAAGCTCTTATAAGTTATACATTTTCTTACACTGAAGAACCACTAATCTTAAGGCATGTACTTAATGAGGAAACTTGGGTTGCTACATCTTCATCATGCAGATGACACAGCTTAGTGTTTCCATTTCATCTGACCTGGCCAGAACAACAACTCATTGCACTACACAGGCTACATCTATATTGCACCCTTCTTCCCCAAAAACTTATGCAAATGAAGCATGGAGTAGAATATCACTGCACTTCATTTGCATAACTAATTAGGGGCCATTTTTGTGCAAGAGGCTTTTGCGCAAAAAGAAGCTATGTAGACGGCTCCTTTTTGCGCAAAACCCCCCTCTTGTGCAAGAGCCATTCTTCCTGAAAAAATGAGAAACTTGAGCTGAGGCCTCTTGATGGTGGGAGTTTCTTCTGGCAGACAGTTCTCTATTGGAGACCCTCTAAAATATTCTTATTTTCTTGGTCTAAAGGAGTAGCCTGAATTTGCTGACTTTTAGAGGCATAAGCTGCAAAGTTTGTCTTTTCTTTTTTGTTTTTAAAGGGGTAAGGGGCAGAGAAGAGATTTGTGAAGACTTAGGCCAGGGGTCGGCAACGTTTCAGAAGTGGCGTGCCAGGATTTAACTTACTCACTTCAATTTACGGATTTGTGTGCCATTGATACTTTTTAAAGTCAATAACAGTCCTACTTACATTTTAGCAGCATCATTAATAAGTAAATTAAGATGCAGATCTTACAATGAATGTAAATAGCCACAATATTATAGCTCTTTCACCATGTAAACATCTTACTGCATGCCATTAATATCTATTGAAGAGAAAAAACATATAAACTTATTTGATAACACTCAGCACCTGCATAGATAAGAACAGAGAGACAGCGTGGAAACGCTGATTTCTTCGTCTTTCTTTCTGGTTGTTTCAGCTCCGTGCTCAGAGGAAACACAATCATGCTGCGGTGCCTACAATGCTCAACAAGCATCCCCAAACTGCACTTTAAGGCTTGCTTTCTTCCACACAAACCCACTAGCTTCTGCAACTCCCTACCAGGTGATTTAAGGAGAGTGAAGACAGAAAGCTGATGATTCTGGCCTATCAGCTTTTGCAACTTTGCTTTCTGGGAGCTAGTACTGGGGAGAGGAAAGCAGTTCAATTGCGCCCGGCTCCCTCCTATCCATCCAGTGCCAGCCTCTACGGGACTCAGGAATTGCCCCCGCCTGACAGCTCAGCAGCAGCTAGCGCTCCGCACACGCATTTGTTTGGTAGCAAGCAGGAGAGCAGCAACAGGATTTCTGTCTCCCGGGCTGATCAACCCTCCGCTCTCGTGCCCCCACTCGCAGGGTCTCATGGCCAGGGCTCCTTGGCTGCAACTCCCCACCTAGGAATCAGGGCACTGCCTGTATTTTCTCCCTGCAGAGCTAGGTACTGCTTGGGACCACTGCCCAAATACCTTCCCTGCTTCCCCAACCACCACTACCTGCTTCTCTGAGCCAGGAAAAGTGTGTGCCGCGCCTCGGACAGGAGCCACCTGGCCATTCGCACCATCAGGAGAAGAGCTTCCCTAGGGGAGGGCGGGAGACTTCCCACTGGCACACCCTCCCGCATGCCAGGGGCCAGTTCAGGCTGCCTGTCCTGCGCTGTTAGCCTTTCATTGCATGTGCCACTCAAAATCATCTTGGGTGCCACTTATGGCACATGTGCCGTATGCTGCTGACCCCTGGCCTAGGCAATTGTGTTGATGGGGACAGAGACTTGGAGGAACAGCTTATGTGAAATATAAAATGTCCTGCTTGGAGTACACAGGAAAGATCAGTGGGGTTAGAATGATGTAAAATACACTAAGTGTAAGGGCATACATAGCCTGGGATAGCCAGTCATTTTTTTTTTTTAATCAAAAATAATTCTTGGAAGTTTTAAAAAATAGGTAAGATGAACAGGGATGACCTAGCTGTACTTAATCCTGCCTCAGTGCTGGTGGACGGATGAGATGGCATCCTAAAGACCCTTCCTATATGTGTATGGAAAAACAAACACAAATCAACAGACATGCGTATGAATTTTACCTGCTATTTCAAATGAATTTTTGTGACTTTCACTGTCTTCTAGTTTTGTGATGGTCATTCCTGTCATTGGCAGTTTTCCCTAGAAAAATAATAACTTTTTTGTTTTTTTTTTAAACCCTAAAAATCTTTAATCAAAATATATACATTTAACATATGCATAATTCAAACATGCAAAACAAATGATAAACCAGTAAACTGAAACATACATGTTAGATCAGCAATATTTAAAGTTCCATGGAAAAAGAATAGTCAGATTACACAGCTTTATGTGCCAAAAACAACTTCTGTATTCCATATCATGAGTCAATCTGAAATCTGTACGAGCTGTAGGTGGTTCATGCAAATATATTAAAATGCAAATTCGCTAAAAGAGGACCTTGACTACCTGTGGATTTGAGACCTACTAAGAACACATATTTCCACCCCTGTTTCATACTTAGTGAGGATGATAGTTTAAGTAGTATGAATGGAACTTGAGACAGTAGTGAAACAAGACACTAGCATGATGCCAGAAAACCATACGATACAGTGGAACTGTCTTTCTGATGACATGGAAAACTGAGGACCTCTTCTGGCTTGACATCACTTTATGCAAGAGTACCAAGGTTTTAAACTGAACTGAGCAAGTAATTCCTCATCAACGAATTATGCTTCTTTTCCTGACTGCAAACGGTCTGCAAGCAGATTGCAGTTCTCATGTTTACTTATTAAATTAAGATGATTCAATAATGTCTGCACACAATTTTTTGTCTGTAGCTCATTCAAGTATTCAGTATTCAACATTTGAGCTGTTTTGATGGGATGTATAGGCCACATAGTAAATTTCTATGTGCTAACTGGATGACTGACACTTAGAATCTTATTTCCAGTGTAAACAAGTATATAGACAAACTGAAATTCCACAAATATTCACATTTTTTCCCCAGGCTCACCGTAAACGGAGGCTGCTCCATGGGAGGCAGAGCAGCCTCTGTCCACGGGGAGCTTAGACCCCCAACAGACAGAGGCTGCTGCCATCCCGCACTGCTGCCTCTATATCAGAGGCAGCAGCACAGGGTGGCAGGCAGCCAGTCTGCGGGGGGAGCTGGTTTTTAAAATGGCTCCCTGCATGGGCCAGCTCTCGTCTGGCATGCTGCTGCCTCTGTATCAGAGGCAGCAGTGTGGGGTGGCAGGGAGCTCCCCGGGAGTGGGGCTGGAGCACACTGGAGGCTGGCCCTATCCCCAAGGTCTATAGAATAGCTGAGTAACCGATAAGAATTCATGTGGTTACTTGACTATTCAGTTACCCACTTTCTAACATCCCTAGTGTAGGCACAGACCAATTCTCACTGCTAGAAAAGAACCTTCCAGTCTTGTGTGCATGCAATGAGTGCACTCCCACCGCGAATACCTTTGGGAACAACACTCAAAGAAAAACCAAACTTTTCCCAGGTGACCACAAATTGCATGTTCGCCATTTTCAGTATGTCAAACATGAGACACCTGGAGCTAGATTTATGGAAATGCTGAGCATTTGCTGCTGCAGCTGATGTCAACAGGAGTAATCTTTGAACATACCTGAAAAATTGTGTCCACCTCGCTCCACTGAGATATTGTAAAGATAAATTCATTAATGACTGTAAAGCACACAGTTATTATGGTGACAGCATCACCATTATTATTAATTTCTCATATGGAAATTAATAATGGTTTATGCCATGCAGAGTTTGAATAGTGAATGTTAAATAAGGCCTTGTGTCACGTGCTGAATGTGGACCATAAAAAAACATGAATGAAAAAGGGGACTTCTGGAAAAAATAGTATGTAATTATAGAATACAGGTTGTACCTCTCTAAGCTGGGACTCTCTGGTGCAGCAACATCCGTGGTCTAGTAGGACCACAGATGTTCCTGGACCAGAGAGCCCACAGGCAGGGGGCTCAGGCAAAATGGGGAGCACAGCACCAGAGGGCTCAGGCAGTGCGGGGAATCCTGCAATGCGGCCGGGAGCCCTGTGGCAGGGGGCTTGGGCAGCGTAAGAAGTCCCATGGCAGGGGACTTGGCCAGCCCAGGAAGTTCTGGTAGTGCAGCCAGGGGTGCCATAGCAGGAGCTCAGGCGGTGCAGAGTACCCCACAGCACAGCTAGGAGCCCTGTAGCTGGGGCTCGGGTGTCATGAGGAGCTCCAGTGGCACAGCCAGGAGCACTGCAGGGGCTTAGGAAGTGCAGGGAGCCCTGCAGTAGAGCTAGGACCCCTGCAGCAAGAGGCTCAGGCGATGCAGTGGGGACTCCCAGGGCTAAGGGGTCCAGCCAAGGCCAGCAGCACAGCTGGCTGAAGGCAGGGGGCTAGTTGGTGGCAGAAACAGAGTCAGCAGGTGCCAGGGGACCTCCCCTGGTCCAGCAAATTCCCTTGTTCAGGACCGGCTAGGTCTCAAGGGTACTGGACCACAAAGGTCCAACCTGCATCATAATATATACACATATGGAAGTTGAATTAAGGTTGCAGTGTTAATGATGGCATTTCCTAACTTCTGAGTGCTTAACTTTGTAACCTGAATGTTTAACAACGTATATAAAGGAAAACAGTAATACACAAATAAAGCTGCTCGCCTACATTAATATAGCAGGTCAGTGGCAGAAACAGAACCTAGGTCTCCTGACTCTCAGTCCAGGATCCCAATAGCTGGATAATTCTGCCTTCTATTGCATATACACATACCGAGAACATACAAAAAGAGAGTGAACATTTTTGAAAACTTTTTAATTTTGCAGTGAATAACCATAGTTAAAATATCTGATTTACCTGATAGATAAACCCACTCATCCTAGGGCTGGCAGACAACATAAGCAAAATATTAGGGAAGAGAAGAAGATATCTTTCATTCTTTTCCTTATAAAAAAAAAGAAAATAATTAATAATAAATATAAAGCAGTAAGCCCGAATTATTTTTTTACTTAAAACATTTACTAGTGTAGTATCCATTCTACTGTATTTTTAGCAAAATTAAACATCTATATTTAGCAACAAGAGGAGTCACACGGCACTCAATTTTCTGTTCAGAAAGGTCAGTGACAAGCTGTTGTACTCTGATTTTATAGTATAAGGAACTTTGAAGAAATAAACCTCAACAGTAGCAAGTAACTATACTGCTACTCAAGGGATTCCTATTGCACAGGAGACATTCCATTCATGCTAGTTCTTTCTATTTAGGAGTTAAGGTTTTTTTCCTGGGGGGGGGGGGCGAGGTTTAAGCAAAATATTTACAATTCTCCCCCGCTGTCCCATTCTAAAAGTTATCTTAAAGTATTCTAAATGGAGTTTTTTACTATTTATGTGACCCATAGGCCAGTTCCTTAGCTGGAATAAAAATGGCATCGTTACTTATGAATTCATGGCCAATAACCTACATGACCCAAACTGAAGATCTAGATCTAATGTTTTCTTATGCATTTGATAAGAGAGAAAGCATATGAGAGTATCTGAGGGAGTCTCAGATTTTGTTGAGCACGATGTATATTTATGAGTTTTGTAAAAGAACATAATCGTTTAGTCTGTTTTATCTTGTTTTTACTACATACAGTCCATTATTAATTAACTGTAGTGGCAAGAACAGAAAAATATCTAATGAAGACTTGAACTGCATTACCTCACTTCCAGCACACTGAATCATGACTTGGGACATGTAAATTACATTGCCAAGGGTTTTAATGTCCTCTCCCTCCCAGCAGCGGATGGCTTCCGTCAGTATTTGGAGTTCAAGTTCTTTTCTTTTCCGTACTTCTTGACACTGTGCCTGTTAAATGTATGGAAAGTGCTAATAAGATGGTGTCTGTGAGAACTCTATTATGAGTCAGTATGAGCTGAAGTAATTACTTGCTTGGAGTATAAAATAAAGCACAGTGATAAAGCTTTCAAGTGCAAAGTATTTCTTTCAGTGGACTATATTAAAAATGCCAACCATCTTGTTAGTCTTTAAAGTGCTACATAGTCCTGTATTTTTAAAAAAATTTAGCTTTGTATTTTTCTTTTAATGTACTGATCTCCACATTCCTTTAAAAAGTCACTACCTTGTTGTTCTACAGGGCCAATTCTAATGTTATGTCTATTATTCACTCCCCACTAATGACTAACTAGCCCTGCAGAAAAAAGTAGGAATGCTGATCTAATACATATCCTTTTTCCTGTTTGATCACAAGTCTCCTAGTGACCACACTGTCACACTAACAGTGGAGCTCCATCTAACAGGAAACACAATGTTGACTATTTTAGTAGCTACAAAAAGTGTTAGCCGGTTGCACACATCACTAAAATCACATCTCTTATTCCTTGCTTGGATAGCTATGTTAGAAATAGTCTTAATCCCCAGCATTGGAGCCTCTCAGCTCATACATTCAGGGCTTCAGTGCTGTAATGCTCATTTTCTCTCTTGCACTAGGGAATAGGCTGGATTCCTTAGCCTTCTATCACCACTCTGCCTAAGTGGCATGATGAGGCCATAAAGTGGATGGAGAAGGCCAGGGTGCAGGTGAGCCTTCTTCTACTCTAAAGCTAAAAAGGAGATGATTTGGAGACAAGGAGCAGACTGGAAAGGGAAGTAAAGCAGAGTTCTGCTACATGGAATTTTCAACTGAAATTAAGTTAGAGCTACTAATGTACAGCCTTAATTTCCAATGAAGCTGGGCAAACAAGGAAGGAAGGAGCTGGAACAGGCTGCCAGCAGACACCTCCCACACACTTCACTATGCATGAGCACAGGATCAAGAACTATATTTGTAAAGATTTCAAGTGTTAAAATATTAACTTTTATAGGGTATGAAAATAGCACCCATTCTCCCAAATAAATACATGTCTACTCCTCAGAAGTCTTACGGAAAGATTTTTGAAGGCTGTCATGGATTTCTGAATGTCTGGTCGATCTGGATGATAATCCTGAAGACAAAAATAATAATACTGTAATTCCCAGTAAGGGCAATGAAATGTTTCCTAGAAGGCATAGTAACTACAGTATAGACAATTCTAACAGTTGTAGCAATCCTTTTTGCTCTCTTCTTATGCCCTTTTCATTGCCTCCTTCCATTATTACACTTGTATTCATTCTTCTAGCAAGAATGCAGAATTTCTCATGATGTTAATATTAATGCTATACTTTCATGAATCCACAAAGCAAGATCTGGAAAATATACTTCATAAGATTTCAACAGATTACTTGTAAACTTAAAAGTTTCTGCCATTTGCACTCCTTTAAAAAGGTTAACATAAATCTGATGCTTTTCATATTGCTCTTTCCTTATTGTCACAAGTGTCACTCTAAGTCATGCTAACATGTGACACGATCACATCTCGCAAATCATAGATATGCCACACCAATTGCACTTCCCAATTTTTTTAAACTAAAACATTTAAATGGACGTTTAGATCCTTCAAACTCTACCACATTAGAACACTTCCAGCCCAACAGAAATTAAGTGAAACTGTATCAAGCAGAGAGTTTGCTACTAAAAAAATACATTTTTTTCTAAGATAAAACCTAGAGCAGCCTTAATTACAATTTTTAGAATACATATTCAGACTATAATCCACCTGGAGAGCCTGTGGATTGGATCCATCCAAGAAAAATTCAGATTCCTAGGTGGGTTTTGCCTTATGTTTACTGAGTTTTTAAGTGAATCTGATTATACTGAGTTTTAGGCCTGTTGCATCTGTGATTTCAAAGGCAGTGCTCATGTTGCACCAGAATGCCATTTTGGCACTTCTCATGGTGTTCCAGTACTTCCAATATTTCCATGATATTGGAAATGCTTTATGGCACATCTTTCCTGCCCTCTCTCCCCTGATTGGAGCACTGTTCAAAAGGCTGAAAAGGAGAGAAAAGGAACAAAATATGGGGCCCAACATGCTTGACATGTACCTTTAAAATAACTGTTGCCAAATCATCATTAAGATGGAACATAAATGCTGATAAGATATACCTCCATGTGCCTTTCAAGCTCTTTGAGTAACGTGGGGTATTTATCCAGGCGCATAAAAGGTTTGCTGAGGCCAGTGGTCAATACAAGGATCCCAGGACTGTTGGCACCTTTCATTTCCATGAATTCGCCTAGTTCTTCACTGAGCATGCAAAATATGTAAACAAATGAAGAATGAATTACCAACTGAAGAGAAATAAATTAGACTCTTGATTATACTGATCCTTCTGCTCATGGGAATTTTGCCTGAAATTGCTAGAGGTGAAAATAAACAATTCAAATGCAAAATATATATTTGTAATTATTGTTTATCGATCCGAGCTGAAACTGATGAACTTACAGCCACAAGGATGCCCCTAGCATGGGATTATTAAAAGACTGCACTTGTCAGAGTTCTTGTGAGAGCTCAGATGAATTTTGGTAAGGTTATTAGCAGGCATATAGGACCTTTTATTATTTTTATATGGTTTCTCTAACGCTTTGTACCTAAATTCCCTAAAAACTGACATTTTTATTTGGGAATTACTGAATTTCTTTTAAATAAATAATTACTCTTTGGCAGACCCTGAACAAGTCTGGTGATCAGAGCTGGATGAAGTCTGGGTCACAGTCAGAAGTCATGCCAAAGGTCATAGTCAGAAGTCATGCCAAAGGTTATAGTCAGAGTCTGAAGCCATAGCAAGGGTCAATCTAGAGTCAGCAGCCCCACCGAGAGTGAGTGGCAGGGTAGGGGTGGGTAGCCATGCCAAGTGGTAAGCTGGAATTGGAGTGAGGCATCACACTAAGGGCCAGGACAGAGTAAATCAGTGGAATTAAGGCAAAGACATAGGAATCAGGAGGAAGAAGCAGAAAGTAGGTGAGGAGGCAGGAAGTAGGATAAAGGTGTGGTAATGGGAGCATGAAGAGGGAAGCAAGCAAGAAGGGAGAAAGTTGGCCACAAGGGTCTCATTAGCATCTGGCCTAGCGACTTGTTGGACCAGGCATAAAGCTTCCTGTTCCACCTCTTCTCTGACCAATCAGCTGTCTGTTGCTAGTCACCTGACCCAGCTGAGTCAGTGAGTGTAGCTTCTGGGCTTTGAGGTGTTAGATGCAGTTTCTTTAGCTGACCCTGTAGCATGGCGGTGCAAAGGATAATGTTCTTGCTTGACAATCCCAAATCATTTAAAGGTACAAATTCTTGCCAAAAAACAAGATTCAGGCTAATGGGGGACTTCAAGTCTAAATTGTGTTGGAGTTATAATAACTAGATAAATAATTTAATTAAAACTACTTTCATCAGACTTTCCTTAAACTTTCCAGAACAATTCTATCTAACCGGGCATAAAATCTCATTGAAAAACATACAGCGAATACAGTTACTAATATCAAACAAAAATAAAGCTCAATCCGTGTTCCAAATGCAGTGCAATTTTAAGTCATACACGTTATCAAGGGTGTGACTGTCAAAAACTGATCTTATTGAAAATTAACATTAGCAAGTAGAGTCTAGATATAGCAGCAATTTTGTTATCTACTAGTTCTAGACAAATATAAAAACTCTATGTGGAAGGGAAACGGTCTTCATACTTGCCGGGACAATGCCATGCACATCCACAGATGGCTCTATATATAGCAGGGCTACTTAATGTGCGGCCCGTGGCCCATTTGTTTGCCACCCGCCCATGGTGTGGTTTTGGTATACATGGGGCTCAACACATAGCCAGTGGGTGGGATCCTTGGAACATGGCCTCCATTGGGAACATGCTCCACAATAGCGAGGCATCTCCCAGGTGGGATGAGCATTGACAGACACAAGCAGATGGGCTGGCTGGAACAGACGGGTTCAGGATGTCGGCATTTCTAGGCCCCAGAGAGGAGATGCCAGGAACTCCAAAGCATTGCGGAAGGTGTTGGCTGCTTAGCCTTGTAGGCAGAGCCTGAGAAGTGCTAACTGGCTCACATTGGCCACATTTGGGTCTGGCGCCACGGCTTAAGACTTAATCTTTGTATTCATGCCTGTCCATGTGAAATAAGTTATTTGCATATATATGCAACCACACTTAAGTTGCGGCCCTCAACATGTGCTGTGAGTATCATTGTGGCCCCCGTGGCTTCCAAAGTTGAGTAGCCCTGATATACAGTAAACTTTATCTAAATAAAACACTAGTGATAGCTATTTCCCTGAATATCCTATACATTTTTCAACCTACTGTTTGCCTTTTTCCCAGATATTGTTTTCCCCGCTTATGAACCCTGTTTGGCTTCTTTGTCTTTTATTTGCCACCATGGGCGGGTAGCAAATAATTTCTTTTACGCTGTCTGCCCTCTGCCCCATTTCAGGCAACACTATCCAATTCAATGGTAAGTTAGCCTTCCTCTGCTCCTCAACAACATTAATCTCTTTTATGCATTCCAATTATGAAAAATCACAGCCCACCCTTTTTACTGTTTTGTATTGTTCAGTACCAACATGTGCCTTTAGAATTATACAATACTGAAATCCTTGCCTCTCATCATTCAGCACATTATATGCATGCACACAATTGTTTACATATGATGGTATAATAAAAATACTTGCAGATCTATCTTCAAGTACAATGCCCCTTACTTACTAGGTCCTGCTACCATACAGCAATTATGACTACTAACTTCCCTTCCCAATCTTCAAACAAACTTCTGCTCCTTGTGCTACCCAATTATATTGGGATAAAATACTATTGTGCCAATTGAGTCCAATTTTGGCACCATGGAGGCTTCAATGGGTCACAGATTTGGCAGGGTCCTGGGGAAAAGCCAGTATGAGAGAGTGCCCCATACAAACCCATTTTGACCCCTTAACTTTTTTCATTGCATGCTTTGGGATTCCTGCCTGTATTTGTTGACTCTAACAATATTATCTGATGCTTCAGAAGGGTAGCCATGCTAGTCTGTAAGGGTATGCGTTTGCTCTTTTGGAAGAGTAAAAGCACTTTTTCGGAAGCCCCCTTATTCCTCATAGGACGAGGAATAAGGGGACTTCCAAAAGAGGGTATTTTTCTGACATTTGGCCCATTCTAGACAGAATCGAAAAAAAAGCGGCAGTGTAGCTGTACCCTGAGAGTGTATAAGGACTGGGTCTAGCAAGTGATGGAGAGGAGGAGAACAGAGGGCTTCAAGGAGGGGGTGGGGTTTTGGGGGAAGGATGGGGTGGTAGATCTTGGCTTGTTCTGACATTTAAAAAGTGATCTTGGACGTAAAAAGGTTATTTTACCACTGCTCTAAATAGTTGTTTTTAAAAATTATCTGAGTTGTTCTCCAAGTTGTTTTCTGTTCTTCAAAACAAACGATGTCTAGCAAGGGGTGGCATCTGTTTATTTGCTCAGAGTCTGAGAACCTAAGTTTTAAACCTAAAGCAATTTTAAATAGATTCAAAACCTGTAAGTATAGTTTATTAATAGAAGCATAAAAAACAATTTAATAGAGTGGAGTTAATGATAATTGAATTACATAGTTTTGCTCCCAACATTCCTAAGATGATAATGTTTTCGTTTCCACAGTATTTCTCTATACTTTAGCAGCGTAAGATTTGTCATGCTAAAAATAACAGGATTTTAAAAAATAAATACATAATTTTTCTTTTAATGTAACAGATATTGAATTATTCAGGCAAAAACGTTCCATCATCCAGACCCTATTAGGAATCTGCTCAAGCCCACACAAGAGAGTCTACTGTGTAGTTTCATGAATTTCCCTGGATTCTTCACGTCTGATTAAGACAATGCAAATAAAATGGAACTTTATTCCGATGAAAGAACAATCTTTTTTTTTTTTAATGGAATATGCATTCTTTATCCAACATATTTTAAATGGCAGAACAAAACAGTACTGGAGATGGGGAACAAAATACAAGTCATACATCAGTTTTATTTACTTTTTCACTGGATCATGAGTATTCAAATCAATGCCGTTAGCTCAAGATCACAGCTGTTTTGACAAAGACAATGGCTCTTTCATATCATGCAATTTTGACTGGCACTTGCAAGTTTTGCACAGTGTATCTCCTCTGTACTTACTGAAATGACACAGTTAAGAAACAGGGCACACATAAAAAAGAAGCATCTTTTAACTGAGTACGAAATAACAATTATCCTTTTGAAATAATATAGTTTTTAAAAGGCTAAATGATTAAACCTATAATTTATTCAGAATAACTAGTCACAAATACCTGCTTTTTGAAGAACAACAAATAGGGTTATTACAATATGCTACATATGGTTTTTTAACAGAATTAGTGTATAAATAAAAGCATAATGGAAGCCTTTGCTGTATAAAGTGATCATTACAACTTCGATGCCATGGTCTGCAGCTCAAAGTAAGGCTATCTTAGCGATATTTTTAGAAATCAACACTACAACCTCAGCCTTTAAAATGTATCAATATTCACATCTCAGTGTTAGCTCTAACATATACTCAACAGGCAGTTTTACAAAAACAAATGAGAAAAAAGCTAAAACAAGAAAGTATCATTCAACAAACTACAATAATTTGGAGGGCAGAAAAAGTGACTTCTTATATCATACACAAAAATCAATAACTAAACATGCACCTTTAAGAGGTTTTTTTTTTTTAAACTTACACTTCTGAAGCAGGTCTTTGTTTATAGTAGATAGAAGTTGAACTCTCACTGCTGAGCGGTCTGAGGACAGCACATAAACACCGCATTTTGACAATGTTACAGCAAGAACTTGGCTTACTTAATGAACCCAAGTCTTATAACTTCTAGTTCTTTACTGCTGAATTTCTAGAGAGAGCGCCTTACTCTGGGACTGTTGCTTAGAGGATGACATCAGCCTGCATGCTTGCAGGCTCTCGGATACACAAAGCAGAGGAGGTACAAAGAGTTGTCTGACTCAAATTTAGCTGTATTCCATACTCCTGTTATTTGTAGAAACTAATGTAAAAGCTCCACAGAATGTATCCAAACTGCTATTAAAATGAGGATGTAAAGTATACATACAGCAAATGTTTGAAAGGAATTATCCCAATAAAATTGAACTCTCAGAATCTAAAAAATATGATACTGCTTTGGATATCTTTTAAAAGCTTTAAATTAAGGATAATTGTCTACCATTGAAAATAAACTCTTCTCAGCTTTGCACTGGCAAAGAAAAAAGCTAAACCTAT